AACAATGGAGAGTTTCTCATGTACTGAGTCCCCTTTATTCTGACTTTTCCTTCTGCAACTGGCTGGAGAAAACTGTTTTTCCAGGGCTCATGTAATTAGGTTTGGCTTCTCTGGCTAATCTCCCTAGTTTAAAGCCAATTGATTCATGCACTTAAATCCATCTGCAAATCCTTTATGTTGTGTAATGCAACACAATCACAGGGGTAACAACAGGGAGTGGAGATCATGAAGCCATCCTAGAATTCTACCTACACCCCCTGCACCAACCTCCAGGCTATGTCTACCTACCTACTGACCACTTTAAGCATCAGACTCATTATCTTCCTCTCTATCATACTCTGTTGTTTTTTGTTTTTTTGGTTTGTTTTTGTTTTTGTTTTTCTTTACTAGGCTCCATGTGAGACTTGAACTCTTGACCCTGAGATTGAGACCTGAGCTGAAATCAAGAGTCAGATGCTTCACTGACTCAGCCATCCAGGTGCCCCTCTCTATCATACTGCTGATGTCATATGGGTGCTCAGCATTTCTAAAGAGACCCTTGTTACACATTTACTCTTAAGGTCCTTAACTCTGTGCAAATGGTATTCAGCCCCAGACCTTATTATTATCATTCAGAAATATATGTATGAAATCTGAAACCTGTTCTCCACTCTTGGACAGCATTCTTCTAATGTTTTTAATATATCTCATATTGATTTTACCAGGAGACATAATGGGAAAGAAAGGGGAGGAACCTAGCAATCGGCAGAGCCAAGGATGTGGGGACCGAGTTTGTAAGAGGGTTCAGGGTTTAGGTCAGCAGAGAAGTAGTAGGTCATTCACAATGATCAAGGAGGCAGGGCCTGGTGGTGATATCAAGGAACCCTTACTGAATGGTTAGGGCTGGAGTTTTTAGCTTCCGTGATACTGAAATCAGTGAGGTGGTCATGTTTTGGCACCAAAAGTCAGTCTGGATTTAGGCTGGATCCCAAGCCAGCAGGTGATAGCACACCAATGTGGTCCCTATGTTGGGTGAGAGATGGCTGTAGGGATTAGGTATGCTGTTAGCATTGCAGGCAATCATTTGGCATCAGGCAGCACTCTAATCTCCATTGGAAATCTGCTCAGGAACCAGGAACTGGGGCATAGAACTGGGCAATTGTGGAGGATTTGAGGGAAGACCTTGGCTGAGGCCAATATAGAAGCTAGGTTTTAGATAGCAAGATTATTTTAGATGCCACATGCTAGAAAGATGATGCTTCTAATTGTTTTGTGGGCTGAACTGGAACTATATCAGTGTAGGCTAAACTTCCAGTTCCTGCAAGGGAATGGGTGGAGCTAGGAAAGCAGGACCATCTTCTGGCTTTCTTGGTCTCACCGAACCTCTCACTCTGTAGTCACCTGCCCAGTCTTTTCCCCATGTGGGAACTAGAGAAGAGTTTCCTCTTCTAGTTGATCCCAGATCCCACAGGGACTCAGTAGGGTACGAGGTCCTGAGGCACTGTATTCCATGGTCTCACAAGTAGGAGATCAGCGAGAGGGTGACATGTCAGGTCCTGGATGGATGGTGCTAAAGTCAAAACACAGTGAATCGAAACCCAGGTGCCCATCAAGAGGAGCCAGCAGAGCAGTGGTAACAAGAATACAGGGTAAAGGGAAGAGGCTTAAAGGATCAGGACAGTTAGGGCAGCAGGGGAATGGGCAGCAGACTGGATGAAATGCAGTCCTCTTCCCTCCTCCCTCCCTCCCACCCCCACTCTCTTCCTTCTTTTCTTCTTTTTAACATTCTCAGCACATTTTGACCTGAACCAATCAGAATGGGTGGGCACATCTTTCCATTTTACTCTGGTGTAAAGCAGTCTGTGTATATGTAACTTTTGTATCACTGTATCCTCTAATACTTAGAACAGTTTTTTTGCGGGGGGGCTATTGAACAATAAAATTAATTTAAATAAAGAAACGTAATAAAAGAGGGAAAAAAAAGATCTTGTTCACAGCTAGGGCAGAAACATTAGTTAAGCCTTGTATGGCTAGAATTTTACTAATATCTTATTGAAAAATGAGTGGCAGCTCAATAGTAGACCCAAGGTGTAATGATTGTGGGTGTTATATGTATTTTGCTTTGTGAAGTTATTGAGTTAACCATTTTCAATGTATATGGTTTGTTCTCTTGCAAAGCTGAAATTCCTTTCAGCTTATCCTGTTCTTGTTCTTACAGAGCGTCAGAGTCTCCTCAATATTGTTACTGAGTAGCATTTGAACAGCATATGCTCCATTGATTGTTTTAGGGGCTTTGCTGATGTCCAGACCAGGACAACCCCTTCCTTTAAGTATGAGACTGTGGTGGTGCCCACAAAGAGTCGTAGGAGTACTCTGTGCCCTTCAGAACACAATGAATGAAGTGTGGTTACATCACAATAATATCTTGTCATGCTGTGTCCTACGGGACACACAGTGTTCCAGTAAGGGTCTTAGAAGGTTTGCAGAGCTGCCTAGGTTGGGCAGGTCAATAAAAGTTCATTGAGAGCTTTACTCTTTTCTCTAAGCAAGAATATTGGAAAACACAGAGACCCCCCAGGTGGCTCTGGATCTGCAGCATCAGTGCCCTGTTCTGCTGGAAGTTTGCTTCAAGATCACTTCCTGAATCTCACTGGGCCAGAGCAGGTGGGCGGATGTGAGAGCACAGCCCCCACTCTTGCCTGGCACTCAGCAGCTTTGTCAGAAACATTTGTGTATCATCAATCCCCTAATCATTTCTGAGAGACTGATGCATTTCCGTAAAAAGCCGGATTTACATGGTATGACTACAGATGTAAAAGATGGATTTTGTTCTGGCTTGTTGAAATCATTCTTTAGAGACAATGTTTGAAACAAAATTTATCAAATGGTCTGTGGTCTACTTATTCCCAGATATCAATCTCTGCGTACCAGTGCTGGGAGTCTCTTTTCCTCCTGAAAAAATTCCATTCTTATGAATTTAGTCCATTCATGTGGCGTCAACCTTATAGGACTATTATTGCCTTCTCTTTTTTGAGGCAATAGAATAAAAAAAGAAAAGGCATTGGCAACCAATTGTGTGGCCCGGTTCATAGAAAGACAAATGATCTTTTCTTACTCTTGAAAAATATACAAAGCTCTGCTAAAATATCTGCTAAAATAGAACTTCATATTACAGGTTGCAGTTATTAACTTAGGAGTTAATGGGGTTTCTACTTTCTCATGATAAAAGCTTCCCATGTTAACACCACCTATTGCATAATGTCTTGGCACGATGTGCAGAATTTTCTTTGTTATATAGTTAGTGAGTGGCAACTTTTCCCTTGTGAGTTCCAATTTTTAGGCAAAGATAACTCCATGAATTCTAAGAACAAGAGCTTGTGTTCTCCTTAGAAATAGTAAGCAAGGCAGTAAAAGAGATACTATTTTGGGTTGCTTGTTAATCTTCTGTTTTATTATATGCCACACATACATTATTCAGAAAACTTCCCTGAAACATGAACATGAATAAACATTGTAATTCTTTACCATCAACCTTAATATTTCTAGAAAAGTGTATGGTTAAAAAAAGAGGTTTGGCAGAAAGTTCTTTTGCCTTTATTCTCAATCTTCTTGGCTCCTCACCCAACTTCTACAAATCTATAATGCCATCTTCATCTAAACCCCGTTGAAGCGGAAGATGGAAGAAATGTGTGGGACTGAAGAGTCTCATACTTTTGGAGATTCCCAAAGCTTCCATACTGGGGGAGGGGAGTGCGTGCTGAGGAATAGGACTGTGTCTCTAACAGAGGAATTGATTTGAATTATGGATGTGGGGCAAAGGGGACTCCTCAAATCCTTTCCTCTTGCAGTCTTCTTCCTATGGAGAATGGGTTCTCCTCCCACCTTGTGATGCAAATTGTTCCCATCATCCCTGGAATTGTGGTCTTTCCACTTTACTATTTAGGGGTTGTTTATTGACTGGTAGGGCAAATTATTTTCAAGTAAAGTGCTCCAGATCCCCACTTTGACTTGTGATTAGGGGGAGGATCAAGGGGCTATTAGATTTCCATAAGAATTTTAAGTGTTTTAAGTAGTGAAATGAGTGTTTTTTAGTTTTTAAAATGTTCAGATTTATGTTGCAAATTAGGATAGACTTAGGGAAATATTGGTATGCTAACTTAGAAAAGCATAGAATATAGTTTTCAACGCCTTTTGTGTAGAACATTAGATCCATGAGATCCAGGAATTGTAGAACAATAAACTCTTATTTTCCCTTTAAAAATATGGGAGGTATACTTCACTCTGCTTGTTAAATAGAGTAAATGGAAGGAGAAGACATTGAGAATATTATAGTCTTGTGTTTCTGATTTAGGCTACTATTTAGAGTGCTGATTGTCATTCACATTTTATGCGTATGAAACAATATGAGTTTTATAAAATTACTAAGTTTATGAGAGGATTAAGCAGGTTTTACTTTTATAGTCATAATGTGTTCAAATGCATTTGCATCAAATGGGAGATATAATTTCTCTTTGTAATTGAAATTTAAATCCCAGCATAAATACAGCGCTTAGAAAACTATTTTATGGGCCTTTCTTTTATAAGGATCCTGTATGGAAAGAGGGTTACACAGCTGGAGATTGTTTAGAGACAATTAAACTTATTGGCTTTTCAGCTGGTGATAAAAGCATGGCTCTGAGACTCCGCATCTTGAAATTGTTACCCAGGTGAATTTCCTTTACAACACTAAGCTCTTTAGTATTCTTAAAAAATTATTTAGCACCAGAGACTTAAGGGGATCATCTATTGGAGTGTAAGCCCATGATGAATGCAAAGCATACATTTGTCTTTAACATGATTCATGCAGGGTGAACCTGAGACCCCAGCCATCTTTTTAAGACAATTACTCACTTCTTTTCCTGAGGAAATTGAAGTGTACTGTTAGTTTGAGCACTCTCTGCTTTCTGTTTCTAGTGCCTCTGAAATAGTACCCTGCTCCCTTTAGATTTTAACATCTACATCCTTTTATTCTCTCCTCCAGACTAGGAAAGAGGCTGCCTGATCCAGCAACCCTGATAAGTGATTTAGAAATAGTGCTGATAGGGACAAGGATTTTATGGGTGACTCTTATTGAGGAACTTTCAGAATCCATTGGTAATATACATATATATGTATATGTGTATATATATATTTTACCAGTGTTTCTTTTTAGTGATTTACAAATCAGATCACGTAGGGGATGCTTACTTTATGAGTAAGTGTGTCAGTTTTTCACAAAAACCCTAGAGGATATAAACTTTTATAGTTAAACACTTTCACTTGGCACCTGGCTTAATTCTCCTTTTAGCCAAACCCCAAGTGGCCACAGCACTCAGATATGAATAGATAATCTGAAGCCATCAGTGTTTTGAGATTTATTGATGTAACTAGTCAGAAATTTGACTTGACTTATTCTCATCAGTGAGTATGGGTATCACATGGGTAAGGATGAATCTGTTATAGAAGTTTGATTTCCAAACTGAGCTTTTTACCCTTATTTGACTTAAATCTCTCCCATTTAAATGTGACAGAATTTATTTCTTGATACATAGCAAAGGCAGGCTGAATATTGGATTAATTTAATTTGTCCTATTACACTAGTACTATGTGTCTCTTAACTTCGGGGGGAACATATTGAACTTGTCTTCGGTTTGCTATTTCATGCCGGGACGTGAGATGGTGTCACTAATGCTTCCATCTCTGTTCTTTGCTTCTACTTGACATGGTTTTTTTCTTTTTGACAGACATTCAGTGGTAAAAAGTAGTGTAATTATTAATTTCCCACTTGACATTGTGAACATTTCAGTGCTAAGTTAGCAGGTAAAAATGTCATTTCTATTAGATGTACCCACAGAACTTCAAAGGGCTCCCTGCAATTGGTTCTTGAGTTGGAAAGAAGTCTGTGACGTGCAGATCCAGTAAAATGAACTTTGTTAACAGTACTTGACCTTTCCATAAAATACTCAATTTTGTCAGATACTTTCCTCATGATGATAGTTTGCAAAAAAATGAACATTCATCATCTTACATTGCTTGTGTTAGATGGAAAGAGATTATTTTAGCAACAGACCTGCATTGGTCTCTCCCATATTGAGCAAATGCTACTCCCTGGGGCTATAATAACTGTCAAGCTGTCGTAGGTACGGGAAAATATCAACCTGCTTTACTGAACTGATATATGGTGAGAGACAATTGCTTCTTACAAAGGTACTGCTGATTAATTGGCTTCAGGAGTTATGCCTCAGTCATATTAACTTGAGTGTTAACTGTAGCGGTGAAGAGCACTGGGCACAAAGGTATGGGGAAGGAGCACAGCTTTCGGGCCGTGGTGAATCTTGTAGCTCCGCCCAGTGGAAACATAATACTTGCTGCATTAAAAAATTCCTGTGGCCACAAAAGCATTAGAGGCAGGGGGAATTAATTTTTATAATGTACTTTGACTCAGTATATCCAAAATATTTCCAGGGCTCAATAGCTACCTGTGGCTACCGGCTTCTGTATCAGCCAGAACGGCTCTCGCGACTGCATCTTCAAGGTATTTGAGTTCCTGACTGTGCAAAACTTGCTTTCTAACCCAAATGTTATGTCTGTGGAGGAAATCCTGAATTACCAGTTAGGTACTGTAACTATCATCTTTGGCCTTTCATGGATAGTTTTAACTCTTTAGTTTTGTAACACCTATGATTCAAATGGAAAAGAAAGTGGTTTCTCTAAATCAGATTGGTGTGGTAGAAAGAGTCTTGGGACAGGTGTTCAGACAGCTCTGGTTTGTGAAGGCCATTTACTAGTGACAGGGACAATTCAGGCTATCCTCACTGAGATTTAATTTCCTTATTTAGAAAATAGAAATAATATACTCTGTCTACCATTTTTCCCATGTGTAAATAGGCATGGGAAAGCACTTTAAAAAGTAACTGTAAATGGGGCGCCTGGGTGGCTCAGTTGGTTAAGAGTCTGCCTTTGGCTCAGGTCATGATCCCAGGGTTCTGGGATCAAGCCCCTGGGATCGAGCCCCGCATCGAGCTCCTTGCTCAGCGGGGAGCCTGCTTGTCCCCCTCCCTCTGCCTGCCACTCCCCCTGCTTGTGCTCTCTCCCTCTCTCTCTCTGGCAAATAAATAAATAAAATGTTTTTTAAAAAGTAACTGTAAAAAGCTAAGGAATAAAAGGCACATTTGGGGTACTAAAATTGTTTGAGACCAAAAGTAACTCTTTGAGAGCCATGCCCTGATTCCAAACAATTCTCTGGTGAGGCTACTTTCTGCCTCTGTTTCCTCGCTCAGTGACTCCTTTAAACTTACAGATCAATTCTCTTTCCTCTTCAAAATGTTTCGTTTATTTTGAAAAACTTTATTGTCTATGTGACATAGGTGTTGGGCTGGGTTCTTTGTGTGTATCATCTCATTTAATCCTAAAGACAACTCTACAAGTTTTGTTTCATTGTATGGGCGAAGGTGATTTGCAGAGAGATTAAGTAACTTGCCCAACACCCCATGGATAGTAAGCTGTCATTTGAGTCAAGCCATCTGAAGAATCCAGGGTTCAGTTACTTGTGCACTAGCAAAAGGCGCCGCTGGAGCATGCCATTGCTATGTAAGAAACCAATGCAGAGCCATAGCACGTATGTCTCACTCTGGCTCATACACCTCAGGAGGCAATATTCTTTTATCTTAATCATTCTGGAGCCAGGTACTAGGCAACTGCATACCACCTCTATAGGTAGGGGCCCCCTGAAATCATTCAAACCAGCCAGTGCTAAGCTGTTTATCCTGCTCTGCCTTGCCTTCCCTACAGAAACATTGATAAAGACTGGCCTAAGCACTCTCCTGGCTCCTGTCTTCTGCCACCTGACCAAAATGTGGTGCTTCCCCTGCGACTCTCTGTGGTATGTGGTGACCCCCCTCTCTAGGACCTGTGGGTATGAGAAGCCTTGTTTTCTGTGCCTGTCCCATGTCCCCTTTTGTGGCTGTACTTGACCATCACCTAAAAGAACACAGAGCACTGAACTGCAGCAGTCTGGGCATGACAGTAGTAACTGATGATGAACTTTTGAGTAAATTTTTTTACTACTCTGTAGTAATTTTTCAGCTTGTAGGGTACTTGTAGGGGGACAATGGATAACCAAGAATGACCAAAATATCATAAAAATGACTGGAGATTTCTACAGGTTTAGTGAAGACAACACTATGGGGAAAAATGCTTGCGACATTTGATTGGAGAGGGCTTTTTAAAGGTTTTCTTAGGAGCTGGTCAAGTTACAGCAGTCCAAATTCAGTTTTTAGAGCTATGGTAAAATGAGTAGGTTCTTAAAATGGCCATAGAAAAAAAATCTAATTTGGAAAAAGAATACGGGTGTGGATGATGGATGTGACTTTAAGATAGAGAAGGGAAGGAAAAAAAAACTCTTCATTCTATTTTTGTCTCAGAGGTACCTGTAAAATGAAGCAAATAAGTAACAAGGATCCACTGAGCATGCACTCTTTCTAGGGCACTACTGGGTACACCAGTATGACAGAGAGATCACATGCCATTTTATTGGGAGGCTAAAACACACTACACAAAAAATCAGGTAATGTAAAGAGGAGAAGGAGAGGTGGAATATGATGACTGGTGGAGTGGGGGTCAGGCCATGCTTCCTTCTGTGGTCAGGATGAGGTGAGAGCCCTAGGAGTGCCATGGTGGGAGCTCCAGTTCCAGCGAGAGCTGGGGCAGGTAAAGGCCAGAGAGACGGTGTGAAGTTTGGACAGTTGGCAAGTAAAAGAGAAAGTAGTTTAGGTATTTAAGAAGATACATGATTGACTTTTCTATGTAAATGATTAGAGCATGGGAGGGAGGGAGGAGGAGAGATAACTAATTTGTGTGTTCACTTAAACTTTCATAACTAAGATGACTCTCAAAGGCCTCTCAGATGCGGAAGAGGGAGACCATTGGTCAGACAACAGGACTTATGGGATGAAACTGATTTATCCTGATTTAATAATTTCTTCCTAAGAAAGTGTACATTTTAGTTCCATCCAAGTGTAACCTAACTAAAAGGAGGATGGAGCTGGATGACCAGGAAGAAGGTCAAGATACATCTCAATATTGAATGCACTCTCCTGTAGGTGTGAAGGGAATGTGGAGGTCTTCTGAGGTCTGGCCTGGGACATGATGAAGTCACCTGCCTCACTAGTCTCCAAGCCCTCCTTGCTGCAGTGATTACACTTACTGACAGGGTGTGATTTCCACTGTCCTTGCAAGGCACACTGCCAATCACTGTTTTCTGGGTTCTTCCCTATTGATATGTTAGTTTAGTGCATATGCTTGTCACAGATTGAAGGCTCAGTAAAATATAAGAAGTGATTGAGGTTGCAGATTGTAGAGAGGCAAACTTTATTTCACAAGCCCAAGGGGATAATTTACTTTTCACTTCCTCCCTCTCTCTCAAAATAGAGAACCACCAACAAATGGTATATAAAGGAAAACAGAGCAAACAGAAGAGGGAAACTTTGCAATTTATTAACTTAAGCATGAAAGCACAGAAAATAAGCAGGGCTCAACCTACTTGGAAAAATAAGTCTGAACTTACTGCATTAAAACATGGTGTTGCGCTAATCTAATGAGTTTTCAGGCAAATGAGGCATGAAACATTGCCAAAATAAAAAGTCAGTAAAATATCCAAATTACTATTTAATGCCATTATATGTTTTATCTTACTGGGAACTGGTAAAGAACAGATTATTTGTATATCTGCATTAGTAGCAAAATAAGTGAAATTATTTTATAAACATTTATTATTCTGATAACTTTTTAATAATGGCAGATCAAAAGCAACTGAACTTCCAGCAAAAGATACACATATATTTACTTTGTAAGAAAGCATTAACAAGACAATACATTTTTACTTTAGTCATTCAGTCCTGAGGAATTCAAGAGAATGCTGAAGGAGATGAAACTTGATAGTATGTATGCAAGTTTGAGGCTAGCATGAAATAACCAAGGACGGCAATATAATTTTGTTAAGAAAAGAGAATTATTTACCAGACATGTTCATAAGATTTATTTAGAAAAAAATAAAGAAAATATCTCTAAAGTTTATCCTAGAATTATTCTATTACATTCTGGATATGGTTGAATACAGTGTTTCCTTTTAAATATCGCTGAGTGGGATTAATGAAAAGCTTTGGGTTATGTTTTCAGTCGCGAAAAATGGAAATGATTTATTCTAGAAACCCTGATTTTATTATAATACTGTCAAGTTATTAAAATATTGCCAAATTATGTACAGTTTAGTAAGGGATGGCAGCTCATGAATTTTTTAAGTCCTTATTTATATGGTTGTTTGAATCTATTTATGTACCATTTGTAATTATTTCTAATGATTAGTACTACTGGCTATTACGTGACAAATCCTTTTTCAGGGGAAAATTAATCTTTCATCCTCCACATCATCAAAAACTTGTCATTTAAAGGCATCTTAAGTGCCTTCCAGTGAATTTAATATGGTATTTATTCTGCCTAGGTGAGGCAGGACAGCTTTACAATTTTTATCTCTGCTAGCTATTGTCTGGTGTGTATTGTACAGTTCGTTTGGTTTCGAATGGTTCTCAATGATTCTCCACACTTGGGTAGATGTGCTTATCTGTGAATGAGAAGGTTTCTTGTGTGCACTTGTTTCTGTCACCTTGTGCTGATTTAAATGCCCTTGGTGCTCAGGAATCATATTACAGTGGGAGGGCATCAGAAAAAGGAGCTGGCCCAGCAAGAACCGGGGAATTTCTCCTTTGTCTGATTCTCCTCTGACAGAATTTCTGGTTCTGACTGGAATGAGAAGTTGCTCTTTTGGTCTGCGTCCTTCACAGGGCTGGAGGTCCAGCCAGAAATTCCATTAGCATCCACAGTTCTGCCTCACCCCTCCTATGCCAGGCCAGGCAGCACTCCTCTGATCTTTTGTATTCATGCCCTTTACTACCAAACTGGGGACCCTCATCCTCCCTGCCCTGCCCTGTGTGATTTCACACCTTGTTCTCTCTTGTCAGATGGAGCTAGTTGGCACTTCCCTGTATAAGTTGTATCATTTCCCACTTCTTTTCCAGGGGTGAAACTAACACCTCCACAGCTCATGTACTCCATCTGCCCCCCCATTTGGGCTTAAAGGGTCTGGTAAGAATTGGAGATAAAATTTCTAATTGATCTCTTATAGTAAGTTACAATACCATTAGCATACAAACAAAAATGTACTTGACTAGAAAAGAATTTGCCTGAACCTCTTTAAAATCTGCCTATGCTTTTATGGTACTAAAACACATGATTTAGTTTGGCATTGAGTCTCTGTGACAAGAGGATGGGTGAAAATCCCTAAAATCTTTGGTGCGGGTCTAGCGCATTGCTTCTCTTACTGGTATTCAATGCAAACTGGTTTTAAGAGCGAACTGCTTTGGGGTTTGTTAAGTATGGGAAGAATAAAACAAATCTTTGTGCAAATAAGTTTGTTTAACTGTTATACAAAATTATGCAGATTTATTTACTGATACTATTCTTATGTGTTTATATGCATTGTGAATCTCCGAGAGGGAGACTTCATTAGGCAGTGTTTTCTGAGCTTGTGTGAACATGTTTACCCCTTCTTGGAACACAGTCTGTGGAAGCCTGCTCTGTCAAATGGCCTCTGGATAGTTTGTAATTCTGTCTACTGGGCAGTAAAATTTAAGCCCTGCCCTTCTGAACTGTTGAAGAGCCAACTTATAAATGCCTGATCAAATATCCATGAGAGTATAATCAATACCAAATACATTACTGTACCTATCCAAGTTTCTCTGCTATAATGTAAACTTTTCTATTCTGCTCATATAAAGACCTCTCCCAAATTAATGATGCCATAAATCATTAGAGAAAAGCACACTCTGCCTGGATTATTATAATGTGGCATATTTTCCCAGTATTTTAGAGAAAGGCAGAGATTGGGACCCTTATTAGACATTTTGTCAGTTATGCAGCTGTCTCTGCCTTTGCAAATGTTGTTCCCTCAGTCTTTCTTGTTATAATTCAGGGTTCCAGACAGAGACTTGATGTGAAAAACCCAGGGAAAGGGACGCAGGGGAGTTACTGGCTCCCAGATTGAGCAAAGCAGGCAAGGGCAGGAGTACAAGTGGGACCTGGCCTGGAACAGAGCAGGACTCTGTCCAGCTGCCCCTGGTATGCACTTCTGTGTGCCTGTTGGCTGTGTTCTTTTCTTCTGCAGCTGCACTTCTTCCATGTGGCCTTCAATGTGGCCTTTTTGCCTGACGTTGTCCTTGCTTCCCCATCAGAGAGTCAAAGACTCTATTCTTTTCCTTCTAATTTAGAAAATCATGAAGGAGTCTGATGACCAGCCATCTTGGATCATTTGTCACCTAGACAATGGCTATGGCCATGCACGGGACCATTTAAGAAGATGGCAGTTCCTTGTTAGAGCATTCCTGTGCACAAGTCAGGGAGAAGGGCCATACTTTCCAAGAGGGAGGGTGCAGTGCTCATCAGAAGCAAGGGAATAATAAATGTCCTCTTCAAAAGCCTGCCCCCTTCTTTAATGGCTAACTCTGTCTCCTTTCCTGGCCTCACCGCATGGGTCCTAGAAGCTGTCCCCACTTTACTCACCCCCAGCCCAGGATTCTGAGATCTTGGGAGGATTCAGTGGGTGAAAGCAAAAGGACATAGGCGCATGAGCAGAGCAAACTGTTTATGTCGCTCACATACTTAAGGTCAGTTATGTTTTAGGGAGCCTCCTCTGTGGTATTGGTGTATGCAGAACAGGAACATCTGTCCTTTAACTTTGCTACTTGCAAGGAAATCAGTTTATTAAGCGTGATTTGTG